TGAAGATTAAACAGAATCAAGTAATGGGCACAGGAGGACAAAGAAGAATAAAAATGGGTGTTGGGAGTAGTTGTTGAATAGGAATAGTATGATAAGTTTATGTTGTATTTACAATAGCTGAGGTAGGATTCTGTTTGGTTTGTGTCTGTGTGTACATATGATAAAAAATGGCTGTAAATATGTGTACTTTGTATGAACTGTCACCATAGTAATTTTTAGATTTAAAAGCATGAACATTCTTCTCAAGTAAAGTCTGTCCTTAAATATCTGGGCTTCTGGGCCAATCCAGGGGCAGAAGGATAAATTAGACAACATTTGCAGGTTTCTTCAATGCTAAGGGTTAAGTGGTACCAAAATCCACGTCAGCCAGAGTACGCATTGGATAAGCACTTTTGCAAGTACTCATACTTTCCCATAAGTGTTTTCTGAAGTATTTTTCTCGAATAGCCTGAAGTGGGGCCAAGAACCAGCATGGAAGGAAGTCATGTTGGGAGCTTCAAGGAAAACCATTAGTTTGAAATGCATATTATGAACCTGTGGAGCAATAAAGTCAGGATTCCTATCCATATCCAGCAATTGAATGTGGGAGACTGGCCTCAAGGTCTTCCACAGTGGAAAAGCCCCTACTGCTGGTGGTCTTCATCCCGGAAGAGCCTTCACCCTGGCGGCCATGCAGAATGGGTAGAGCCCTTCCTATGTGGATGACCAGAATATGAGTTATACAATCGTTTGGGGTTCATAATCTGCAGAGCTTATCTCTCAAACCTCCCTTGTGCAGAGGTCTTCTGAAGGTGAGACCTGGACTTTTGTTTTTGCTTCAGGAAAAAGACACTGAATGTAGCACTGTGGGGAAGGCTTTCAGTTTATTAGGGGAAGATGGTGCCTGAAAGAGCCATCTGAATCATAACTGCACCTTTCAACAAGTCCTGGAATTTTTAGGGATCATATACCTAAGAATAATTAGAAACCTCTTATGTTAACTGATCCCTGTAAATAACTCCCTTGTATCAAACTTATTTATATATTTCCCTTGAAACTAATCTTTGAGCTCCCATTGAATGAGGATATATACATATTCATATGTGTTCATATACATATACAGGTACATATATATTACTATTTTTAATCTTTGCATCCCTCGCAGTACACTAACATAGGAGTCTGCATTGAGAGAATGCTGTTGAATTGGACCGACTCATTCCAGCGTTGACAGTGATGATGAGTCAGGGCAGGGCTAGAAGTCAGAGGCTGATCTCCTGACTTTTAATAACCAGTCACCAGACTATGATGCCAGTCCCTTTCCAATGCTGGCCAGGGGGCCCTGGCAGCTCAGCACGCTAAAGCTAGGAGCCAGAGGGCAGGCCCATTCTTTTACAGCTGTAGTGCTCAGCTGTATTTGTATTTCTTGTGAGATTGCTGGGAGCCTTTGACTTGGGCCAGACAACTTCTAAAAATGTTTAAAACAGCACTGGAATAATAACCAGAATGCTGAAATAATGGGCCAATGTTGATTAATTAAATTTTTTATTAATGAATAGTTTGAGGTATCTTTTATATTTAAAATACCAGGGTTACTTTTTAATGTATTAGTTACATTTCATCCTATGAAAAGGGCAGACTGTTTAATATCAGACAATCTCAGGTAACTTAGGACTCTAAAAATTTTTCAGGTAGTCATTATGATCACCAGTCCACACTGTTCAGTAATGTGAATACAGAAGATACAAGTGATTGGGTTTGATTTTTTCAAACCCAGAATATATTAGAGAAACTGGTGGATTTGGGAAGAATCCAAAATTTGGGAAGAATAAATATACAATATTAGTTTATTTTCTTGTCATATGTTCTTTCTCTTCAGAGAGAAATTTTTGAAGTTCATTTTGTCTGTCTCGAAGTCGGCATACCAAGTATTCATAGAATGCAATATAAAGAAAAGAAGGGGATTTTCAGTTAACAGAAGATTCTACATAAATTGCATCTGGTTATTTGAAACTTCACCATGTTCTAAAAAATGATTTTAAAAATGATGTGATCATTCTTAATTGAGAACTGATTGAACATCTTTTTTAAAGTGTTCTGTCATGTTCTGAATCTGTTCTTTCTTTTTTATTTTCCTTGTTCATTCTCTCTGTTTTCTTCATTCTTGTTTTTTTTTTCTCTTCCTAATGTTTTCTTCCTAACTACTCCATTGTGAACGTCAATGCCTTAAATATAAGTATATGTCTGGGTAACAAGTTGTGAGATTTGGTCACAGATATCAAAAAGGAGTGTTGGGCTAGCAGAACAATTGCCCGATTGTTTGTTTCTGTGCCTCTTGCTTTAAAGCCATGGGGGGAGGTGACTGCACTCATTTTACGGGACTCTTGAGCATGAAGGACTGTTATCACTTCAGGAATCCACAGCGGGGACCAACACTAAGGGAACAGAAGTTTACAGTGCGGTGGTGCTCACTGCCCCCAGTGCACAACCATCCATTTGGGTTAGTTCATGTACCAGGGAGCACAATACCTAGCACTTAGTAAGGGTGCAGTACAGGGTAGTTCTCTTTCCTTTCCTTCCCTTAGAAAATGCCCCTTATCTACAATGGTCTCTGTGCATATCTCTTTCTTCTTGCAATTCAACTACGTTCTTCATCTTTTAAAAAATTTATTGGGATGACATTGGCTAAAAAGTTCATACAGGTTTCAGGTGTACATTTCTATGGTACATGATCTGTATATTGCATTGTGTGCCCACCATCCAAAATTTGACCCCCTTTACTCATTACTATACCCTGCCGTGCTTCCCTATGGTAACCACCGTACTGTTGTCCGTGTATATGGGTTTTTCTTGTCTACTCTTTTACTGTTTTCAGTTTTATGTTCCACATATGAGTGAAATCATATGAGCTATGTTTCTATTTGAATTTCTTTGCACTATACCAGCTTAAGAGACCTAGTAATTAGAAAACAGCAAAAAGTATACAAATCACAAGAACATGTGACCAATAACCAAATATTTAACCTTACTATTAAGTGATTAAAAGGCAGAATAGTGAAAAAGTTTACCTGTTATGTTGGCCAAAAGTTTTAAAATTTATAATACCCACCATGGGTGAGAGAACAGGAAAGTGGTCACTCTCAAATTCTTGCTAAGAGTGTAAATTGATATACCTATTAGAAAGACTTTAGCAATGTTTATTAAGATTTTAAATGGACATACTGTTTGAATATCTTCTGTAAATCTATTCTATCCAAATACAAGTTCGTGACTAAGGATATATCTCCATGGTTGGTCATTGCAGCTTTGTTAATAATTGACTAAATATGGAACTTTTCTAAATGCCTATCAATTGGAAAATTACTTGAATTGTATGTCATACTTAGAAGAGACCCTGCATGTACTGACATAGAAGATGTCAGTAAGTTCATGACCCTGTCAATCTCTCCATCCCCACAGTGCAGAGCAAAGCCACAGTGGATATTTGTGGGATGAGTGAATCCATAACATAAGATTTACTTACATCCTGCATTAGGTTTTCTTAATTCTGCATTGGACTTTAAAAAATTATTTCACTTTAGCCCTGACCAGTATGTCTTGGTTGGGCATCATCCACAACTGAAAGATCATGGGTTCAATTCCTGGTCAGGGCACATACCTGGGTTGCGGGTTCAGTCCCCAGTCCAGGTGCATATGGGGAAAGAACCAATCGATATTTCTCTCTCTCATCAATGTTTCCTTCTCTTCCTTCCTCTCTCTCTGAAAAAAAAAAACAATGAAAAAAGTCCTTAGGTGAGGATAAAAAGTAAAATAAAAGTTATTTCACTTTAAATATATGTTCTTTGTCTAAGAAAAAGCTGGAACTTGCATTCATAAACAAAATATTTGATTATACATAATCTCTTCCTCCTCTGCTTTTGCTTTCATAAAAATAACTTAAACATACCAAGTTTCTTCTTTATTTCTTTTAAAGTATCTCCCAGAATCTTCCTTTAAGGCTACTGGTGAAATTATTAAACACATTAGGCTGAAAAATCAGATTTTCCTTTTATCTTGATGAAAGCTTGGTATTTACTATATCTTAGTTCTGGTAGTTACATAAAAGTAGCCATTTTGAGCAGAGAAAGGAAAGGCAAAGGCTGGCAATAATTGATTTAGGATTGATTGATAGATAATTAGACAATCTTGGTTGAACAAACTCATGGTATCTCTTATTATTCAACCAGCAAACAACTCAGCTAGTCCAGTACTAATATACATGTAGGTGTCCGTTATTAATCTCATCTTCACTATATGCTGGTAAGTTGATAAGTACCTTGGTGGGAAAGGAAGCATAGCTGTTTAGTTTAGTTTGTATTTTACTCAGGAAAGTGCACTAAAAACCACAAGATTTGGTAATGTTTTCAGTGCTTGTCTTAGGATTTTTGTAACCATGCCACATGAGAGAGATGGTAACGTTTTTCCCTTAGTGACCACTGCGTGCTAAGTTATTAGGAACTTATTTAGCTTAATAGGTTTAGAGGAACACAAAATAAAGATTGAAATAATTGTCAGTGAGGTATTTGGAATATCTTAAAGTACAAATTTTGGAATATATGTATATATTATTACAAAAGAATAATTCTAGATCACTTAAAATTAAAGTTTTCTGTACAAAGTATTATATTGCTTATATTAATAGTAACACAAATATGAAGCAACCTAACTTTCCAAAACAGGGAAAATTTATTTAAATAATCTATGTCAAGAACTATATTAGGTGCTTTATATATATTGTCGTTTATTTCTAGAATAATTGTACAAGCTAAGTCAGTCAGCCCTACTTCATGACAAAGAAGTTGAATACCTAGCAGTACAGTTACTTTTCCAAGATCGTATCACTTATAAACTGCTGAGTGAGGGTCACAATAATCTGTCCCCAGATCTTAATGGGGACAAACAAAAATCTTAATGTTTTTGATACGCCTCTGAAAGATTGCATGGTCATTTCAACTTGTGTTAACTTAATGTTTAAATTTCAGATCATCAAGTTGTTGGATGGAAAACGATCTCAAACTGTGGGAATCTTGATATCTAGTTTGCATTTAGAAATGAAGGATATCCAGCAGGGTAAGTCTTTTCCATCATTTCCCCCTGACTTTTACTTTTTTCAGCATTTTATCGTGAAAGATTTCAAACATGTAAAAAATTAGTGTGCCATAGTGAATCCCATGTGCCTACTACCTAGATACAAAACAATCAGCTCCCTCTTATTTCATATGAAGCACCGTTTCTACACCAACTAGATTATTATGAAGCCAAACTCAGACGTTATTCATCTGTTAAAAATGTAAATTCATGGCTACAAGATAAAGACCCTTTTTCAAGCACAACTCAAGTGCCATTATCATGCACAACTCAAGTGCCATTATCATTAAAAACATTTACAGTGATTTCTCAATATCATCAAGTAAGCAGTTCTAATTTCCCTGATTATTTGTATACTCACTGATTCATCCTTTTGTTTACAGTTAATTTGAGGAACCAAACAAATTTTATGCATTGCCTTTGATGTGTCTCTCAGGTTTCTCATACTAGAGAGTTCTAATCCATCTTTTTTCTTCTTTGTAATTAATTTTTTGAAGAAACCATGTTACGTGTCCTGTGGAGTTTCATACAAGATTTTGCTGATTGTATTGCCATGTTTTTATTTATTAACTTTTTTTGTCCCCAATGGTTCCTGCAAACTGTTAGCTTGATCTAGAAACTTAATCTGACTGGGAGGAAAACACTTCGTAAATGCTATCATATATTCTATCAAGAAATATGTAACGTCTGGTTGTCTGTCTATGATGTCAGTGAGTCCTGGTGATCTTTGCCTAGATTCATGATTTTATTAGAAGATGTCAAAATCATTCCATCATTTCCTCATTAGTTGCGGTTCTATTATGGAGAAGCACTTTTCTTTATTCACTTGTTACATTATTGTTTCTTCATCCCTTCCTTTATCCGAACAATGTTATTTCAGTTTGGTTGTCTTTGGATCAGTTTGAAAACAGACCTTTGAAGAGGGAAATTTTACTTGTATATATTTTTCTTAGTCTTAAAAAAAAGACCAAAAACCATCATGTCTTTTGAAATCTGTATCTTGATTAAAAACAATACTCCCCTTTCTCAGAAATCAGTTAAATGTGAATCTATTTTTAACATATCCCTGCATATTTTCTGAGTAGTAATACTATCATTGTAGGTACTTTCAGTAGAATTTAGCACAGGTTTGCAGTGGAGACACTCTCAAACCACACTGCCCTCCAGATTTCAGTCTTCGTTGCCTCAACGTTATTTTATTTTGGTACCCAGCAGAAGACTCCCACAGGTTCTGAACCGAAAGATGCTTATGATACTTTCACACACTACTTTTCCTCTCGAAAGAGCTTTGTTAAGGGCTTAAGATATTGCTTTATTGCAAACAGTAAAAATTCCACATAAAGCTAAAAATATCCTGAAGTAGGTGAAAGTCACAGAGTATTCAAATAAACTGTCTATTTTTAGTATTTAAGCTTAATGGTAGAACTAAATACATAAGTATGAATGCTAAACCTGCAAAAAATGTTGCAGTAAGTAATCTGAATTACAGAAAGAAAATGGCTAAAAAGTTCCACTATCAAAATTAGAAAGGAATTCTTCAGTAACTTTAGGTGTTAGGTCTTCTGGAAGAATTGAGTTTTGGGTAAATTCAAACCAGGAATTGATACTAGACAAAGGAAAAATAAAATAAAATAAAGTAAATAAAATAAAATAAAAATATCAGCAGGGAAGTTTATAGTCTTATGTCAAGGGGACTAACATTTTTGATGCAGTCATTAAAAGCAATTCCTCAGGTTCAGTGGCAGGGTCGTGTCCTAAACAACAGCACTCTTCATAAGCCTGGTAAAAACCAAATATGCTCAGCTTCATCACCGTGATGTACAGCACTATGGATATGAGTTTTCACGCTGGCAACAGTATCTTAAACTTCACTTAGTTCTTTTCAAGCGTGTCCTGCTATAGTATATCCGTTGGCCATATGGACAACTGATCCCACCAAGAGCTGTTCCCACCATGTACCAAGTGGATATTCCTGGATGGTACCTGGATATTCCAGGTACCAAGTCAGGACCATAAACTTTCCCAGGGTTTCCAGCCTTGCCAGATTAAATGTTCATTGTGAGTTGAATAAGAGACGTTTCCAGTATTCTACTCTGCGTATGTGAAGCAGAAGTGAACTTACCTGTTAGCACTGGAAATGTGAACTGTAGTGTTACAGACTTGGAGGACGTGTGGGCGCCATTTTAGTTTCCTCCTGCTCCAGGAGCCTCTGTAACCCACCACAGAGTTGGCTCTGCAGCCCCATTTCATGTCTTCATTTAGTAATGCATTCCAGATGAATGCGGCAGTATGACCTGAGCTTAATTTTTCTTTAGAATCATTTGACTGACACTGGCATCTGAAGGTCACTTAGGAGCCGGGCTATGTCAGTTACATTTCATTCTGAGTCCATGTCTGGTCGTGAATGGAATGCACTTGGCCTTGCATTGTCGTCCTGATGAAAGGATTCCCTGTGCTAACATTGGCCTAAAATGTTTGTTTTCATGTGGGGGTGTGGCTGCAGTGAGCCCGGATTGGGGCAGGCCAGCTGGCAGCCAGGCAAGGTCGCACAGCACGACAACCGAAGGGAAGTGACCACCCTTCAGAGACTGTTCTTCGGCCTTCTGGGCATATATTCATCTTTGTCACTGCGCAAAGACAAACACTGTAACTTTCCCTTTTCAGGCTCATGAGGAGGTGATGTGTAAACTGCACAGTCAGTGTGTTCCCTTTGTCAGGATGGAAATATTTATTATATCTGTTCATCATTACCTCCGTATCACTTGTCTCTGCTTGGCATTGTATATTGTTTGTGCTGTTTTTCCTTTTGCTGAGATTACAGGTTGGTCACCTAGATAAGAGTTTGCGGTATTTCAGCCTGCAGTTACCCTCCATAGATGGATAAGTTTTTATTGTTTCAGCTCTTTAAAAAGGGACATTGTTTTCCTCATTTGTAGGGTGGGCAAGTCTCCATTGTCCACTAGATGCTGCCTGTAGTGTGCACTCAGGAAGTGAAATTTCGGGGCTGTGTATCTCAGGGTCTTAAATCTACAAGTAGAGAACCAGTGTCTATTCTGTTATGTCGTATTGCATTTCTTTTCTAAGAATTTCTATGATAATTAAGCATTGTTTACAACTGATCAAGCTAATGTATCATACATAAAAGTCATTCAATAAATGTTTTTTTTAATTTAGTTTGATTTAAAAAACAAAGTAAACCTTAGACTAGATGGAATCTGAATGTCATATATTCCATTAGTGCATTTGGACAAAACTTCCTCCCCTCCCTCCCGCTGCCCCTCCCTCCCTCTCTCAGCAAACATGCTTCGAAGGCCAGCTCTGTATCAGGCTCCATGACGATCACAATACATAAGATCCAGAGTGTAACATTCTCAAGAGTTCATAGGGTGGTGGGAGAGATGTGAAAAGCAGCCCAAGATTATAGTAGAGTTACCTATGAAACAACAAAGCAGTATCTTGTCTCCTCCTGTAAAAGTTCAGATGAGTCTTAGAGGGTAAAACGAGGTTCACCACACTCGGGAGCTTTTCCAGTGGAAGGAAGGCATGTGTAAAGGAGGAATAGCTCAAGTGGATAGATTATGTGTGAGTGCTGTTTCAGGGCACAGGGCTAGAAAGGCGAGCGGCATCCAGCACAGGCGGGGCTGAGTCTCATCACACAGGGTGTGGACATTGTCCCATCAGTAACAGGGAGACACAGTTGAAGACGCAGTGCTGTGATCTGATTTTGAGGGCAGATATATCTTTCAGGCTGGAAAAGATGGGCCTCCAAGGCCTGCCAGGCTCTGGGCACAGCTAGTTTCTCCTGCTGCATCTCCTGCTGCAGTTGGCTGCGCTTTCTTCTGTCCTTAGTGCCTTCTAACCTCTTCCATTCCTTAAAAGGGCCATGTTCTTTTTTCCTTCCTCTGAGTCTTTGAAAGCATAGCCCATTTTAAATGAATAGCTCTGCATGTATGCTCTGTTTAAAATACCTTTCCAGCCAGCTTCTTTTCTTTACTAGGTTTCAGCTCAAATGTCACTTCAAAGAAGCCTTTCCAGATCCCCCCTAATTGAAGTCATCCTAAGTTAATTCTATTCAATTCCATAGAGCACTTAATATTTTATTTGTTCATCCACGTACATTCTCATTCATGTTCATCTCCAGAATATATTCTCCAAGAGAGTGATTGCTCACTAATGTGTGCTCACTAACTTTCTAAGAATTTCTAGGTTATTAGAAATCTAGAAACCTTGTACTGTGCCTGGAACCTGGGCAATGATCATCAAGTGTCTAAAAGTGGATAAATCTGTTAGAAAGGGATTGTGATTGCCGAGATGAATGATGAAGCCAGAACTAAGGCTGTGTCTGTAGAAACGTAGGGGAGGACACCATATACAAGGGATATTTGGAGAGAGAATTGTTGTTGTTGGCCATATTAGATACAAGCAGTGTTGAAGAAGTCTTATATGTTTGTTGGGTTCCTGGCCTTAACAAGAATATGTATAATGATGCCAAAAACATAACCTGGAAATAGAGGAGGAAAAGCCTGGGTAGACACAGAAAGATCAATCCAGTTTTCAATGATTTGAGCCTGAGATGACCGGAGACATTTAGGCTGAAGTGTTCAACGAGCATGTGAAAATTCCAGCATGGTGTTATATAGGTAGAGCTGTGTTAGAGATGTATCATCCCCAAAGGGTAAGCACCTTTATCTGTTTCTCTCTACCCAAGATGTGGTCCGGCATCTTGCAGGAGAAAGCCGGATCCATGTAGTGACTAAGTTTAAAGCACTGCATGACTTAAAGGCGAGCCCTTGGTCATAGAGGAAGAATGGTTTCAGAAGGCTGACTGTAATACCCACAGCATTTGTGTTTGGTCCAGGAGAGGCTCTGAAGAAGTGATTTACTTCTTGCTGGTTTTCCACCCACTAAACTGGATGACTTGTATTTAAAAGCATTTTGGCATCCTTGGACACAGTGACTGCCTGCATGATTGCAAATTAGTG